ATATGTCCTGTTACACATTTGTACTTACACAAACCATTCGGAAGGTTGTTACATGTGTGTAGTTACAGAAATATTACAGCTATAGATACTATGTACCAATGTGTACTTACACTGTGGTTACATACTACGTACACATCTAGTTACTATGTAAGTACACAGGTATTAGGGCCACTTAATATAAAGTGAGACCCGTTTTACAGTAACTTGCTGGCATCCAGCTGTCGTTAAGTTACTGTAAAATTAACAGCAATCTCTTTACAATGTAAAAGTCAATAGGGTCCAAATTGTTTTGGAACGTGATTACGTTTATAGGCAAAAACAGTCAGATATACTATCATTTTGAATGAAATACACACTTAAGGGACAGCTATCTCTTTCAAAAGCAACAGTTGTTCCTCTGGGAGATTTAATCAAATGCTGCGATTCAGCACCACACATTTGTTTAATGTGTACACATGTAACAACCACAATGTGCCTTCGTAACCTGACGTAAACTCTGTCGAGGTAAAGTATTTGATGCTCACTCGAGCAGCAGATCTTCTTGCACACATTAGCGTGCATGTCATGACTAAAATCTAGTACCGAGAGGGATGCTGAGAAATCAAAATAATTAAATGGCTGAAAAGCGCAACAGTCTTGATGCTCACACCCAGATGTTTATCAAGACGTCTGACAGCTTCAGACATCAGCCATGGAAGAGCAGCAGTTCACACAACGGCGCTTTCAGTTTCTCGACAAAACCCACACACACATGCATTAACATAACCACAGGTGACACTGCGTTTTTCTTGTTGTTCACACTCACAAACAGACGGAGAGTACAGAGTGTATGCGTGAATATCAGGAAATTCACAGGGTGAGTAAAATAGACTGAGCTGATTACATGGTAGTCTGTGAGTACATGCAAGAGTGAAACTCACAAAACCAGTCAAGAAAGTGTTAAGGTTAACCAGAAATAAAACACCAAATAAAAGGAATAAAACATTATATATATATATATATATATATATATATATGAAAAAAGTAATTCTGTTTTTAATTCAATTAAATGCATTGTCAAATAAGCACATCCCAAATTTGCATTACCATAATGCAAAAAAATCTGATTCTCATTAAATTAACATTAAATAAAACAGTGCTATATTTTTTAAGTTGTAAAGTATTTATGCATCACTTTAGTATTTGTTGTAATGCCTCAAATTATGCTGACTAAAATAAATAAACATAGAACAAAAATTTTATATGAAGTTTATTTTAAACACAACCCGGCTACGTTTTGACCAGATTTTCGTAAGAATCACCCACATGTAGGACAGGTTATGGGAAGATGCATTGCTGGGAAACACGTACGAACAGTCAACGACTGCTTTATTAGCAGATGCACAGCACAGTAATTCTGACACTCAATGATGAGTAACACATGAGATCAGTACTGACTACTGATCACATAAATGCTACTGATATCACATTGGCTTCTCAGTGAAATCATTCTCTGGAAAGGTGAATATTTACTGAAGTTTTGTACGCATGTTATTTTTGCATGTTTTGATAAGTCATTGTGGGGAAATAAGATGTGTTCAGATTCAAGGAACTAAAGCGTATATGCCACCAAATACACAAAATAATGTTCTTTTTAGCAGCATCATATGACCCCTTTAACATTTATTAGAGTATGTTTGCATTCGAGTAGACATAGACACAGTACCATGAATTTTGTTGGAGATTTATTGGAGAATGGAGCTGAAAATCAAAAATCCCTTTGGTCACTTTTGGGAGAATTGGTCTGAGGATCATCTGTGCCAACTTTCGTGAAGATGGAATGAAATGTTTCTCCTAGAAGTAAAGAAAACAAACTTGGCAGTATGGGGTAGTATGGTGAATCTTGACAAATTTGGCATGGTTTAACCTAGCACAACCAAAGGAATATGGGACCTTCATTTTAGGCCCAGACATTCTGAAGTATTGCCCGTTTTTGTGATTATTTTGACCACTAGGTGGCGTTGTCATCTGTGCCAATTTTGATGAAGATTGGACAAAATTTCAAGGACAATTAGCAGAAAAATGTAGCATTTTTTTTGGCATGTCACTGTGTTATTAGGTCATGTGGATCACATTTAGTCTCCAACATCTCATTTCTGAATGCTCTGTCTTCCATTGCGCAGTATATATATATATATAGCCTATGTATGTGTGTGCGTGTATCCTTTTTCACATGCATCACCTAAATGCAATGCGTGCAGGCTGGCCAACCACACTTCCTCCAAACATCTCTCTCTCTCTCTATACATCAAACTCTCGCACATACACAATCACACTTCTTTGAAACCCATCTGCAGGGAAGTGAGTTAACACTAGTTTCTGGAAATGGCTTTCACTGTTTTATAATATGGACTGATGAGTCTGGAGGGCCAGAAAACACAATCAAACGGGTCATCTGAGCATCTCACTTGCAGAACACGAAGAAGATAAGTGATAAAACGAGATGTGTCAGAGGGCACTGTTTCGGCACATTTATCTTTTTCGGCAGTCATTGTCTTGGATGTATATCAGGAAAGAAGAAAAACCGACTGTATTTACTTATTCAATACCAGTTCCTGCTAAAAAATGTGCATATCTTGACATTACCCAGCCTAAGTTGCTTAGCTGGTCTTAGATGGTTTCAGAAAAGGAAAAGAACCCTAAAACCAGCTGACAGTTAGGCTGGGAGACAAATTAAGACCAGCAAACCAGCTCAGGCAAGCAATTCCCATTCTACAATTTCTTTGCATGTAATTTGGATTAATAATGCAATATGAAACCTTTGCATCCTAATACATTAAACAGTTTATTAAAGGTGTGTTCTTGTGTTTGTAGTCAGGGCTGTGCTGGAACATACACGTGCTTCTGTGCTTCTGCTAATTTTTCAAAAGAGGAAGCACTCCAGAGCTATGAACAAAAAAAAGCCAGACTAATGGCTAATTGGGGTGGTCGAAGAGCATGTTTCTGTTTTTCTTTTCCTTTTTTTCCTCTTTTGTTTCCTTTCTCTTTGTGTGGGTGTAGGATTAGTGAAAAACTGTAGTTGCAACTCTGTATGATGCAACACTGTGGCCCTAAATAAAGACCAATGTGCTTCTGTCTATGCTAACTATGTGCATGGGGATGGAAAGAATATAAAACATTCCTACAAAAGTGTGCATGCAGTCATATGCATGTCCGTACTACAATTTACAGTTACCAACAGCATTCAAGTGAAACTTCACTAACAGCGCACCACCACAGAGGGAAATCACCAACACCTCAGAGAGCTGAATATATTTCAAGACACTTTACTTTGCATTGTCAGTTGCAATGGCTGCCACTCAGAAAATCTTCTTTACACCAACACTAAGTTGTTCGCATAACAGCTAGCAGCAATGCTGTCTGAAAATATTCAAAGCCTTTTAAAAGTGTCTGACGTCATTTTATTGCACCTAAAACACCTTTATACGCAACTGAAACAAAAGTCATGCCATTACAAAGGGGAAGACCTATGTTAAGATTTCAGCATTTGGTGTGAGCCAACCCTGGGGGTGTCACAGAAAGAGAAAATTAAGGGAACACAAACAGTGACTGTGCTTTCAATAGTATGAATAGTCTCTCGCATGTGTGTGATGCGATTTGCTTGGGTGTGTGTGGGATGTTACACACACACACAAAAAAATAAACACTCACTGATACACTCTGATCTCACAGAAAATGACAAAATGACATCGCTTTTCATGACCTGTTGGTGACCTGCCGTTGTCATTCCTGAGCACCTGGTCAAACAATACTTGACTTTTGACCTTTAAATAAGAGAAAATGTGATTATTAAATTCCAAAAATGGTGGAAATCAATCAAATTAGTAAATACAGGCAGAAATGATTTAAAGGAACAGCTATATAAACAGAACCTTTATCAAACTGGGTGGAGCAAAGACAGCATTTCGTGATCATTGTTTTTTGGCACAGCTCCTTATAATTCCCAGAATCTATGCCAATAAATAGTGCAACACAGTCTGGAATTCACTCCTAACAAGTTCTGGCACGTTATAGCAATTCAGATTATTTACCACAGACATATTTTTCTTTAAGGTTCAAAATAATTCATAGAAGATGAATGTGTGATTACATGTGATTGCCTTCAAAAGATGACCTAAAACCCACAAGAACCAAAACGTATTCAGTCAAAATGCTTTCAGTTTCCAAATATACCTACATGCAGCAGATACCATGCCTGCAGACATCTTTATATGCTAAATACTTAAGCTAAAAATGTCTCTGTGCCAGAATGCTCGCCCTTAGAACTCAAAAGCTGTCGCTTTTATTTATATATTTCTTTTGACATGTTTATTTTTGGTAATACCCTTTTTGGAAAGTAGAAAAGCTTTTGGACTTGAGGTACTCACCATAATTTCCCTCCAAAACCACATGACGTTTTCATCGGATTTTTCATCAGTGATGATGAGACTGGTGAACTTTTCAAGCCCTAAAACACACACACAAATGTAGTCCATTGGATTCCTGTGCAATACTCCAAGTCTTCAAAATTTATTCGACTGCTTTGAGTGAAAACTAGACGGAAGTTTAAGTCGTATTCACTAAAAATCTGTCAAAGCTTGTGCACACACCAGATCACATGAGTGCGCTCGACGCCATTTAAATGAAGAAATTGCAGGCAAACATCAACGGGGTATATATGAATGCTTGAAACTAAACTATACTTTTCTTAAACCTAACCTATATATTCAAGTGGAATATTTCACATTGTGGCAGTAAAAGAAGAGAAAAAAATCTTGCGATCGTATCATCTCTGTTGTAAAAACTGGGTAACATTTCACCCTATTTATCTGGCGTCTGGCTTGTCATCAAGTGGCTTCACTCGTGCTCTCTAAATATTTCCCCTCCTCATTGTCATCCATATGCACCCTGTCTGTCTGCACGTGCCCTCGAGTGCCAGGGCAGCGCGGCACGGCCTTTTCCTGCCAATCTCATTCATCCTGATGACATCTGTGTGCCTTCTGCTAAAGGTCTCCGACTGCTACGAGGCTCCTCTGCGTATCACCTGCAGCTATGTGGCTGTTCCCGCGCAGTCACAGAGTGCCGATTAGCAGAGCATTCATTAGTGCGATTAGCCTCGGACACAACAGACCCCTGACGCACAGTAGGATAATGAGGGCCTGGGTGGTGAAAAGGGGGGATGCTTGAGTTTTAAATGCTAATAGCCATCTGTTAGCACTAACAGTCTAGCTAACTCAAAAGTTTCTTTATATGATGCTGTTCTTCAGTTCGTACAAGCGAGACTTTTACATTGTTCTCCTTGCCCGTGGGGACAGAAAGAGTCACTTTTACCTGACTCATGACTCCTACAGGCCTCTCACGGCTCAGTGCTGATCCTAACACTAACCTTGCCCAAGAAGACAAAGAGATGGTATCCGCTGGCTTGTTAAGTGCTCGACTATAGTTTACAGAGGACAGTCCTGTTTTTTGATGTCCTTTCATACTGACTATCCATGTTAAATTGAAGTAATACGGTTTGAATGCACTATATAGCAGGGCCTGTACAGGTGACAGGATTGTTTTCCACACAATTTTAAACAATCCAGAAAGTTACAACGGAGCAATTCCCCCACACACATCTTAGCTATATCATGTGGGTGAAAGTACACCCCAATATGAGTAAAAAAATGAATCAGCTAAACAATTGCATTTTCAACAATTACACTTGCACATACACAAAGCACATACTTTGTGCTCACAATGAGTCTAAAATGCAAAAATAATAAGCTTAATTAGAGTTAGCAAAGATCCAATTACAAAAGTACAAACAGAAAATAACACTGAAAATTCAAACAATTGTTTTATATGTACAGTATATTGTAAAAATAATAAATACAGGTTTATTTATAATAAATTCTCATGTTTATTTTTGTAAAGTCAAAATTTTGTTGCAATACAATACTGTTCTGATCTATTTGCAATGGTTACTCTTTTTTTTTTACACTGTGATTTTGGTGAATTGCATTTAAGTTAATTAGAGACAGAGTTTGATTCACAAATATCATAGTTATTAATTAATAATAGTATATGGAACTCACAACGATTTAAAAACCAAAACATACAAACATTTATTATCCTGTTTTTTTAATTCATAGAAAATAACAAGTAAGATTCCAATTATGTTTTGGACTTTTTTGAACTATAGGAAATGTCCCTAGTTTCCTTACTCAACTATGACTAGATGCCTTAGAAGTTTGTATCAAGTGTGTAACTGCATGAGCCATTTTGTGAGTGCTTTCATTTTCAGTACGCCATCCAACAACATTTCACATCCATGTCTACCAAACTCCGAAAGGACAAAAAGGAAGGCCCCATTAAAGTAGTCTGTGCAACAGACACATATTTCAAGTCTTCTGTAGTTATACATTTACTCACTTGACAGATGCTTTTATTCAAAGAAACTTAAAGGCACTGAATGTCTACATTGTATCAGTTCATGCATTCCCTGGGAATGAAACACAAGCCCTTGGCACTGTTAGTGCCATGCTCTACTGTACAGAACCTTTATATGACTTAGAATATAGTGCATGAGTCTCTACTTTTAATTATGTTTTTTGGAGCTTGACATCCGTGGTTGCTCAGAAGAGCTCAGAAGTGACCTTTCACGACCCACAAATGCTAGAAAATTAGGGGAATCGCCACAAGCATAACACGCGTTTTCTATTCGACTTCAAAGTACCTGTGAAAAGCAGCTGTTTTTGAAACAGAGAGTTGAAGCATCTGCTACAGACTCCTAGAATGAGTGTTTGGAAATCTTGCTGCCTGCCTTTTATCTCGGGAACATTCCGTCCGCTCTGGCAGTGATGTGCTAATAGTTGGTGAACAAATTTAAGTGTTCCCTCTCTCGGGTGAGCCACAGGCGGCATGTTCACCAGCTTGACTGATATGACCACAGGCGTACTGTTTCATCAGCTTTTCTCTTTCACCCCAAGCCATACCTTCTCCACTGCCATGAACTACGGTCTGTCAACCCAGATTATCCTTTCAATCAGGAAAAAATGACACTTACGAGGAAATTGTTTACATGAAGCCTGAATAAATATGTGTGCATGAATCTCCAGTAAGCGTGATGAAAATAAATGAGAAATATCTCAGTTTTTTAAAGGGGAAGTATTGTTCTACAGCCGGTTTCCAACTTCTCATGTGGGTCTGCCTTCAAAGAAAATGGAACTCTTCTGTGTAATTCACTTTGATATGGACTTGGGTGTGATGAAACTGACAGACGTCTGACGTCAGGCGAGTGGGATCAACTGATATCGAAAGCTGTTTGATGGGAAAACAAACCGAGGAATGCGAATAAATATCAATGAATAAGGCCCACGACCACCATCCTGTGGCTAAAAGGTCAAAGGTTTTAGCCTTTTTGTGACCTTCAGTAATGATTGCTGAATGAGGTGATACAATGGCCCATCTACACATATATGAAAAAAGAAAAACAATAGTAAAGCAAATATCATAAAATCTATAAAAGACTGATATGTGATACAGTAAATTCTTAAAAAGAATGATATCTAGAATAGGAATTGAACTTTGTGGTGGTGGAATGAAGAGAGAGGAAGCCAGCTTCCTGTGTAACCATTTTGATTTAAAGATATCAAAGAAGTGAGACGGAAGCCACTGTTCTCTGTGCTACCACATGGTTACGGTTGGATGTGTATCTTTTTCTTGTCTTTTTTTTCTCTAGCCTCACACTTTCACTATGACTGGCTCATTCATGAACAAACAAACTGGGCCTAATTTTGAAATGAAAAAAAAAACGTGCTCATTATTGTGCTAGACAGTGGAATCAAAATATGAGCTGCTTGGCTGTATCATTTATTATGATGCAAAAAAATATGTCTAGCTACTGAAACTGGACATTTACATTACAGTGCATGTAAGATATGCACATCCATAAATGTAAAATATGAATTTTTATCAGTATGTGCATTCACAAACCTGTGACCATGGTGTTACAGCATCATGCTCTGAAGAATGCGTGCGACCCTAAAGTTGAAGAATGACCTCCACCCTGATCTCAGCTGATGACACAACTAAAAGTCCACACAGATCATTGTCAGTGAATCATAGTCACTCAGAAACATTATTCAGAGGATGCGAGAAGCAGTGCTAGTGTACAGAATAATCTTATATTCTGAATAACCTTACGATTTTATATTGTCAGCATGGACAATATAAAATTGTATGATTGCAAACATTTTTTTTATTATTGTTTGTTTGTTGTAAAGGTATAGCTAACCCAAAGTGAAAATAAGTCCACACAGATCATTGTCAGTGAATCATAGTCACTCAGAAACATTATTCAGAGGACGCGAGAAGCAGTGCTAGTGTACAGAATAATCTTATATTCTGAATAACCTTACGATTTTATATTGTCAGCATGGACAATATAAAATTGTATGATTGCAAACATTTTTTTTATTATTGTTTGTTTGTTGTAAAGGTATAGCTAACCCAAAGTGAAAATGTTGCCATTATTTACTCACCCTTTAAGTTGTTCCAAACCTGTATTCATTTCTTTCTTCTGCTGAAAATAAAACAAGATATTTTAAAGAATGTTGGTAATCAAACAGTCCTTGGTCCCCATTGACCTCCATGGTATAAAAATACTATGGAAGTCAATGGCTACCAGGAACTGCTTGCTTACCAACATTCTTCAAAATATCTTTTGTGTTTCAGCAGAGAATGAAATTCATAAAGGTTTGGAATGACATGAGGGTGAGTAAACAAAATGTTTCATTTTTGGATGAACTATCCCTTTAAATATAAATGTAATTAATGTTTATTGAGTATTTATTGCAAGAAAGTTTGCATTCAGGGTTTTATATCTAGACATACTTCAAAATTTGATAACAGGATTGTAAATATTGCCTACCCAAGTGATAAAAATTATATATACTATACTATCACAGGGGCGCAACATCTGTGATGGGTGGCTCCCTGCTGATGACCCCGTGGCTGGCCTGACATGCCCTGCGGTTCTTAAGGTCTTGTGCTTCTAATCACTTACAATTTTATCACATAATATTTAGTCTGACCTCCTGATGCTGGAAGATAAACTACCCTTTTTCGCTGACCATTCGTTGGAAAAAAGCCTGTTTTCTAACATAGTTTCAGATGTTTTACTCAATGCAGAAGTTGAGTGTCAGTCTTGACAGGAGTGTGATATACCTAAAGATATAGGTGAAACGCACCGCTGCCGAATGACGAAACATGGGTTTGCACCTGGCTTTAGGCCCAGTCAGTGATGATTCAGTCTTATTAGCATATTGAGGAGACAGCCGTGGCTTTCTTTTACTGCTAAACAGGTGTTCGTATGTGGTCGTGTGAATGTCTTCCCACACCACAGGTGTGAAGCACCATTGTGTCCTGACCTAGTATATGCTATAGCTCCCCTGAATGTCTGTATGGATAGTATGAGAGTATGATGAGAGAACAGGACTGTACTGAATTTTAGTTCACATTAACTTGTCACATGGGCTTTCAACCTCACACTCCTTCGACAGCATGTTGTGTATGTGCTGCCTTTCTATCTGTCTTCTCAAGTGTACTCCCCCTCCTCCACCTCTCCATGTGCGGAGGCGTTGCCTCTGGAATCAGGCCAACATGGGAGAGGTTTCCCGGTCGTTCATAGGGAGGAACTACTGTGTAGTCTTGCCCATATATGGGGCGGATATCAGTTGCCAAATCATGAGTCAGTTTATTCCTGATCAATAAAGAGCTATGATTAAAGCTTATATTTGAAAGTAAGACTCTCTAAAGACATTTAATAAGTCTATCTGTGGGATCAGACTCTTAAAGCTCTATGAGAAAGGTCTACTTTTACTCATGTTTTGCTCATTATATGAGACAGTACGTCAAAGTACTCAAATGCAATGCCCTCAAAAAAAAACCTGCATTATATATTCTCTTAATTAATTTGGCGTCTTTATTTTATGTTACTCATGAAGCTTAGTATGCTTTACAGTACATGAGTACCTCCTGAAGGCCCCTGGGTGATGTGATAGCCCTGACACATTAATCTGGGTTAAAATGATCCAATCCCATCTTGCGATCCTGTATTTACTTAAATGGCCAGTTTAGATGTGCCACCTAAATTAAAGGAATGTATTTAGAGCTTGACATTTAAAATCACGTCCACTTTCGTTGTGCGTAAAAGAGCTGCTTGAACATTCCGTATAAGATCTCCTAAGAAAATAATGAATATTTTAATTTTTGTATATGCTACTTCAAAGCTTATACCAATGATCCTTTAACGCCGTCTTCAAATTGTTTTTCTCAAGACCACAACAGAGTTTCTGTTTACTTGGCCATGGGAACATTTTCTTAAATGTGCCTATGTAACTCTTGCGGCCAGTTTTTGCGTCTTGTCTGTGGAAACAAAAACAGGAGCGCAGTCTCCCTTCAGCTTTGCTCTCTCGCCTCCAGCGTTGTTTTCAATCTCAGCGGTTCCTGGCAACAACGTCATCGCTCGTCTGACAGCTCGAGGAGCGGAACAAACTCTCGTCCAATCAGAGGCCGCGCTTCTCCCGGACACGCCCACGGAACGCAGAGTATAAAAGGCTCCGAGGCGCGTCTTCTGAGAGCGAGTGCGCACCGAGGCAGGAGACTACGCGTACGACAGTTTGTAAATAACTGCAACAGCGAAAAAGCACTTTTTGGACATCAGCTGTCAAGGGAAAACACCTGTCGACTTGGTACAGTAAAGTTGTTCAAACTATTTTGGAAGTTTCTTTTCTCTTTGACATCTTTTTTGCCTCATGTAATATTACGGAGAGAACCAGATTTGCGGGCAGTAAAGTGTACAGGCAACTCAAAAACCTCCAACGTAATTTCTATTCACATGTCAACAAAAATGGAGCAACCGTTTTATCATGACGACTCGTTTCTTTCTGCTTATGGTCATCCAGACGCTGCCCTGCACGACTACAAGCTCCTAAAGCAGAACATGAGCGTGGGCTTCGCCGAACCTTACCGGAACCTCAAGTCCCTGCGCTCCGAAAGCGACTTCTACACCGGAGACGTGGGCTCGCTGAAACTCGCCTCTCCGGAGCTGGAGAGACTCATCATCCAGAACGGTAGCGGCGTCTTCACATCACCCACTCCGGGGCAGTATCTGTACAGCCGGGGCATCACAGAAGAGCAGGAGGGCTTCGCGGACGGCTTCGTGAAAGCGCTGGACGAGCTCCACCAAATGAACCAAATGCCCCCGCCGAACGTGTCCATCGGAGCCGGCGGCGTGTCATCCTGCTCGGCCGCGTCGTCCGTCTTCTGCGCCTCCCTGCAGCCGGAGACGCCCGTGTACACCACCCTGAACAGCAGCAATCCTAACACTAACCTCACACCCGCGGCCAACTACCCGACAGCCACCATCAGCTACCTGCCTCACCACCACCAACAGTACCATCACCACCACCACCACCACCAAGCAACGACGCACCCTCATCACCATTTTCAGCACTCGCTCCATCATCCGCAGCGACTTGTTGCGCTTAAAGAGGAGCCACAGACCGTGCCCGACCTGCAGAGCAGCGACGGCTCTCCTCCCATGTCCCCCATCGACATGGAGGACCAGGAGCGCATCAAAACGGAGCGCAAAAAGCACAGGAACCGGCTGGCGGCCACCAAGTGCCGGCGACGGAAGCTGGAGCGCATCTCCAGGCTGGAGGACAAAGTGAAAGTTCTCAAGTCGGATAACGCCGGACTGTCCAGCACCGCCTCCCTACTGAGGGAGTTTTGATGAACTGTCCAGTGCCAAAACCACAGACCCACGTTTTGTGACATGCTTTATTCTGTCACAAGTTGCCAATTTTCTTAAGTTTAGTCAGCCACAAAACACAACACTTTTATGAGGGATTCTTTCATTCTTTCGACATTAGAACTAATTCTATCTTCATCCTACTGAATGTAAACACATCTACAGCAAACTGTACCTGGGCATAGACAGTCCAGATGGTGACTTTATTTGATATCACACATCAAAGGAATGAAATCCATATATCATGTCAGGACACAATTCTACCCAAATAAGCACATTTTGATTCAAATAAATAAAAGCTAGTGTTTTGTAGGCTATTTAATTTTGTAATGGCCTATTTTTAGGTTTTAGTGGACATTTTATTTTATTAAAAAGACTTGAAGTGATGTCCCAGGATAAGCATCAACCGTCGCCATCACATAGTTTGAAAACATCATATTAGTTTAAAAACAAGATATTTACAGAATATCAACATTATATTCATAGCTCTATCTCAGCATATATTAACATTTTTAATATATGCTGGGGGGGCTTTTCAGTATGGAAAAAGGCATTGTTGTCAATCCCATTCTCAGCTAACAAAAGTGTTTTAACCCTTTAACTGTCACCCCCCATTTTTTTAAATAGGCATGCAGGTGCACTATCCAAACTTTAATTATTGTAATTTATGAACACTTTGGAATACAGACATAAGGTTGGTCTCTTTTTAAAGAAGAAAACCAGCAAATTATCGCAAAAGTGGAATTTAAAAAAAAAAATGTAAGTATCAAAAAGTTATAGTAGTTTAAATTTACTGTAAAGAAAATGCACTATATAAATTTTATTTTATTTTATAGATAAATATTTTACATATCAGGTTTTACTCTAAAATTGGTATAAAGGTATAGCCTTATGTCTAAATAAGTTATGTTCCAAATTTGAAGTTGATATGAAAAAAATTGAGGTTCCTGTGAGATTTTAATTAGGGTGTTATCCCACAAACAGCCACCGGGTGCCATCCAAACTCCATTGAATTTTTTTAATGCATTTTTCTGTCACAAATGTCTAGATTTCTCTGTCAATATTACTTCTATCTGCATTATATATATCCTGAGACTCAGACCTTTCCAATGATATGTTTTTTGTCAAGATTATAAAAAGTTTTGATTCTAAAAGACCGTAATTCATTTTGGAATATGACACTTGACACCGCCCACTAAGGGGGAGGAGACCGCCAAAAGATTTTAAAGTACCATTTCCATGGTAACGCAATGTCTGATTTCGAAATGGTTTTCACGGGATGAATCTTGGGCTTCTAAGCTTTCAAATGATATATGATTTATGATGATTACTAAAAGATTTGATAGAGAAAAAAGACACACAAAAAAAGAGCGCCAAACGTCCCACAGGTGGGACGATGACAGTTAAACAGCACTATGAAACTTTTTCTGTGTTCAAAATTTGCTAAATGTATATAATGAGCGAGTACATCACGAATTCATCTTCCAAACCGCGTTTTTGTCTTATTCCGAATCACTCCGGTACACTTATAATAATAAGTACTTATATTTGGACTATTGTAGCCTGGTCACCGCTGCGGAGGAACACATACCTGCGTGAATCGCCATAGACATAAACTTAGAGAAGTAGCTCCGGTTGGAATGTTCTTCCGCGGGATGTGTGCAGGTCTGTTTATTAACCGCTAGAGCGCCAACAGTTACGTAGTGCTGCTTTAAGAAAATTTTTCTAACGTTCTAACTAGTATGAAAACGCATTTCTGAATGTTCTCTGAAAGTTTAAAACGTCCATTTCGACACATTTTTATTAAAAAAACTTTTTATTTTTATTTTTTAATACAAACACTGGAAACATTCTATTTTATCATTACAAACATTATGGGAATTTTACTTTTGAATGTTCTCTGAACAAAACGTTCTCTTGAGGACGTTCCCTTTTGATGTAGAAAATAACACAAATTAAGCAAGATCAGCAAAATCACTTGTGGTTTAACTAGTTCCAGATTATCAAACATTAACAAGTGCTTAAAAATCAGTGACAAATGCTTGACGTTTTGATTTCCTTTGAGTGTTTTATCATCAGACGTCTGTTTGCGCAAGTACATCATTTAGACCTCTGCTTAATTGACATTAAATCTGCCTTGAAATCAATTATAGGCCCAAATTATTCTTGCTCTACTAGGCCTACTGCTGCCGAGGGCTCTTAAAGGGATAGTTCACCCAAAAATGAAAATTCTGTCATCATGTACCCACCCTCAAGTAGTTTCAACCCTGTATGACTGTCTTTGTTCTGCAGAACACAAAGGAAGATATTCTGAAGAATGTGGGAAACAGAGCAGTTCTGGGGCACCATTGACTTCCAAAGTATATTTTTCTCCTACTATGGAAGTCAATGGTGCCCCAAAACAGCCTGGTTACAAACTTTCTTCAAAATATCTCCCTTTCTGTCCGGCAGAACAGAGACATTTATACGGGTTTGGAACTACTTGAGGGTGAGTAAGTGATGACAGAATTTTCATTTTTGGGTGAACTATCCCTTTAAGAACAAGTTGCTCCTGAGCTATTTCTCCCAAATGTAATGAAATACTGCCACCTACCGGTCTGATTTGTCCAATCTTGAGACATGTTCCGGTTCAATTCGAGCTCTACCAAAAGCATTTGTGGTAATGTCCATTACGGTGTTATTATAGTTATTTAAAACTAAAATCATTTAAAAAAAAAAATTTAAATAAACTTCGTTATTTACTTCAGACTACATTTCACATTTTCCTTTAGTTTAACTTGAAGTTAAATAACTAACTGAACCTAACCTAAAATAACGAACTGAATATTCTAAATAAAAATGAATAAGTATATTTCAAAAAAACGGAGAGAAAAAAAAAGCTAAAACACAATATTACTAAAACTATAAAATGAAATGAAAACCGAAAATATAAAAAAAATCTAATTTAAAATATGAACAAAAACTACAATAGTGTATCAAAATAATACTGGTCCATTATCAAATATAGTTTGCCTGGACAATTACAAGCAGAGATGCACAGTTCATATTATTGCAAATGCACTATTTAGTAAAAACCTATTTAATATTTGAGCGGTAAAGCGGTTTACATGCTCCTTATTGAGTTGTGAAAACTTCTGGATGGATGAACCTATAGTCAGAGTCAAAATCTCATAAACTGCATAATTTGTAATGAATCTGAAACACAACAGCTGAGATAGGTTGGTAAAAATAAGAGAACTGCACCGTCACACAATAACAGCCCGTTTATTTCACAGATATTGATGACCACCAGAATGTTAAACAACTTTCAAAATGTTATCAAAATGAATCAAATGTTCATTGAGTACTAAATATGTAATACCGATAAACTAGAGTTGAAAACAAACTACAGATATTTCAGTGCATGGGAGATGCTAACTGCAACAGCTTCTTCAGACAATGGAAAAGAAAAGAAATCGGTCTAACAAGTGCATTTAAACTGCAAAGAGTTTGTTACGTTGGCTTAGACAACTTTTCAAGAACTCTCAGGCTAAGGTTAAGTGCTCTAGCGTCCCACTGAACGGGAGCACGATCCGGGAAATACGGCAGGACTGTTACTGCTTGGAGAAGAACTCCTTGCTCTTCTGCACATCTGGAACAATAGCGTCACTTCCTGGTTTCCATCCAGCAGGACAAACTACAGAAAATAGACAGACATGTTATTTTAAACCTCTGAAAAGTGGAGACTGAAAGTGAATATTTTGGCATCACCTTATGTGAGCATTTCATGGTCATACTTACAGTAATACACACAATAACAGTAAAAGTTTGGGGTGGGTACGATTTTTAAGTCTCTTTTGCTCACCAAGGCTGCATTTATTTAATCAAAACTGCAGCAAACACAGTAAAATTCTGAAATATTATTACAATTTAAAATGACCGATTTTTATTCGAAAATATTTTAAAATGCAATTTATTTCTGTGATGCAAAGCTGAATTTTCAGCATCCTTTCTCCAGTCTTCAGTGTCACGTGATCCTTCAGAAATCACTCTAATGTGCTGATTTGATGCTCAAGAAACATTTCTGATTATTATCAATGTTGAAAACAGTTGCTGCCTCCTGTACTTGCGGACAAATATAATACATTTTTAGGATTCTTTGATAAAATGTTAAAGGAAAATGAAATAGAAATCGTCTTTGTAAAATGTCTTTACTGTCACATTCAATCAATTTCATGCGTCCTTGCTTAATGAAAAAAAAAAAATCTTGATAACCCCAAACTCGAAGGACGAGTCAATTGTTTTCTGTGGTAAATCACCAGGATGTCACCTGGAACAGCTGTAATGTGACTAAGTAAAAAAAAAGTACAAGTATGGGCTTAAAACCCTAATTTTGGCAGTATAATTTTGTGTTATGCAAGTAAACATCTCTTTGTTGGCATCAGGATGCATCTGTGTTTACAACACAAATACAATGTGGTCACATGTCTTTGATCACCTCCAAATGTGGTTTGAGTGATCGGATCACAAAGCATTTTAGAGCATGGTTTACACATGCGGTCCACTCAAGATAAACAGGCCATTCTGAAAGAGCCCCGTCTCACTCACCTTCTCCATATTTGTCGGTGTGCTGGAAGGCCTGCACCAGTCTCTGCGTCTCGTCTACCGAGCGACCCACCGGCAGGTCATTGATGGTGATCTGCCTCAAGATGCCTTTATCGTCAATCACAAACAGACCTCTGCGGGAGCAGGACAAGACACAGAAAACTTACTGTTTGTAAGGCAATTTATTCTGTTCACAATCAAATCTGTATGACTGCTGTTAAATGAGTTTTTCACCATTAAAGCAATGTTTTAGCTGCAATTCAAGTTAAGCACTAAGAATTCACTGAATGCTGATTACTAAAAAAAAGAGAGAAAAAAAGGTTCCTCAGTTAAAGTAACAAGTAAATAAATAATTGAAAGTATCCCCACTTTACTTCAAAAAGGAAAACGACTTGCGGCAAATTTGCAGCTCATATACAGTGTATATATTATTTTCATAAACAAAAATGTATGGGGACCGTAAGATTTGTATTATTTTTTTAAAGAAATAAATTATTTTATTCAGCAAGGACGTATGAAATTGACCGAAACTGACAATAAAGACATTTAAACTTTTACAAAAGGTTTGCATTTTAAATAAATGCTGTTCTTTTGCACTTTCTATTTATCAGAAAAATCTCCCAAAAAAAATATGCATTGCGGTTTCCACAAAAATATGAAGCAGCACAACTGTTTTCAACAGTGATAATAATCAATGTTTCATAAGAAGCAAATCAGCATATTATACTGATTTCTGAAGGATCATGTGACACTCAAGACTGGAGTAATGATGCTGAAAATTCAGCTGTATATCACTGGAATAAATTACATTTTAAAATCTATATTCAAATATAAAATAGTTCATTTAAATTCCAAACTTCTGAAGAGTATAATATAATATAATCACAGAATAAAGCTTTTTGAACTACTGTGCGTCAACACTGTGTCAAATGCTTAACTTTGAACCAGGAACACGCATTTAAAATCAGCGACTGAACATTTTGATCGAAAATTCCAATGTGCAATAAAACCCTTTTAACAAACAGTTCATTTTTTTCTCATGGTTCCTGTACCCTGCCTGCACTGCAGAACACGTGGACGTTATCGAGCACACTTGATCATTATCTCCTGCTGCAATCAAACATGGCAAGCAAGAGGGGTTAAGTAGTTGTAGTTTAACTGAACCAGTGCAAACATGAGCACATCGTCACAGACCTGTAGGCGATGCCTTCGTCCTCTTTCAGGACGCCGTAATCGCGGGAGATGGACTGAGTCAGGTCAGCCACCAGCGGGATGTTCATGGAGCCGAGGCCTCCCTGCTTCCTGGGTGTGTTGATCCTATCAGGAACAAGCCAACAGTCATGTCACAGGAGTTTGATTTATAAAGTGTTTAATTCACTGGATTATAGTTTCATAGACATGGTTATACCTCATGGTTATTTCAGATTTAACTTTTTTCACTGAATTTCCAGCAAGATGCTAAATACAGATATAGAATGATATCAATATATTCATATTTAATATATAAATATATTAATATTCCTAATATATATTAAATATGTATTTATTTTAAAACTCTGGATTTTTAAAACCTAGTTTTTTAAAAATGATTTATTATGTATCTTAGAAAAGTCTGGGTTTTTAAAACATAGAAATGAATCAACTAATTAATTAATTAAAATTATTAAAATAATTTAATTTAATTCTTCCGCTTAGAAAAGTCTGGATTTTTAAAACCTAAAAAGGTTCTCTTTTTAATTTATTATTATTACTCTTAGAAACGTCTAGGTTTTCAAAATAACCTAAAATTATTATATTACTATTATTAGTTTTTAGAAAAGTCTGACCTAAAAATTTTGTTAAGTGTAAATATTAATGCTCTCTAAATAAAAGTCAATACGACTTTAGGGGACAATTTCTAGAACTAATAAAGCACTACACCCTTCCTTATCTGTGCCTCTCTAACACACTATAGAAGCTCTTATCAAAGCCAGGCTGTTTAGGAGAACATAGAAGATAACCACTAACTGGGTGAAACCATAGAAAGCCTGCTAAGAATCACGTTCACAAGCAAGAGAAAAACCAACAGTGAAAACTAATGTACAATGTTTGACCACTGGCACTATTGATCTATAATAAATTAGCTACTATAATAAAGGTGCTTGATATATTACAACATTAAGTAAGGACCCTTTAGCTGTGGAAGACGTAGGAATAAAAGCAGAATCCTCACCATGCCAAATGGCTGAAATGAGAGTCGGTGGAAGCAGCGATGACCTCGCAGCCGATTTTACGGAGCTCAGCGGCCCGTTCACTGAACGCGATAATCTCGGTGGGACACACAAAGGTGAAATCAAGTGGATAGAAGAACAACACGACATACTTCCCTAAAGAAGAAATGGAGGGAAAATAAAGATGAAGTGAAAAACAGGTTACAGTTGTAACCCAGTTAGTGGTTAGCAGAGTTCAATAAGAAACAGACAGGTGGTGTTTGATGGCTAGTATCATGATGATGCAATGGAAAGCAAAAGTAGTTTAGATTGACATTTAGTATACTCTCGTCCTAATCTGCAAAACACCTCGCGTGGAGTGTCTGATGCTCACCTCTGTAGTCAGAGAGCTGAATGTCTTTAAACTGTCCGTCTACCACAGCTGTGGCCTTGAACTGAGGAGCAGGCTGACCGATCTTAGCGTTTCCAGAAGACATGTTGAAGATTGCTTGTCACTGGTGACCAAAACATATTCAAGAAGAACATCAAACATATTAGTATTATTGTTGTTCCTGCTACTAGTACTTCCACCACACATTTTATTACAAACTAAAAGCTATTCAAATTAAAAAACAATTTTTTTGACACTTTCAAAAAAACAAAAAAACATTTTTTTTTGTGTGTGTGTGTGTGTGTGTGGAACCAGGACAGCAGACAAAAACATAGACTAAATAGCAAAATGATTGAATTTATGTGTAAAGCTGTCAAAGTTGTTCCAAACCTGTATGAGTTTCTTTCTTCTGATGAACATAAAAACATATTTTGAAGAACAGTTGAAGGTCTCCAACGACTTCCAAAGTATGGAAAAAATACAAAGTGAATGGGAACCAAAAACTTTTTGGTTACCAACATTCTATCACCAGAAGAAACAAACTCATACAGACGTGGAACAAATTTAGCGTGCATAAACGATGACAGTGTTCATTTTTGCGTTAGTTATGCCTTCAAGTCATTTACCAAATTATATTTATTTATTTATATATTCCTATTACTTGTTTCGCTTCTGTTTCAGTTTTTATAACCATTTCTTACTATGTGTAAGTAAGTTGTTGTTTTTTAGCATGTGTATTTGCCTCAGTGTCATTTTTTAGGATTACTGATAAACTACTGTCATTTGATTTGTATTTGTTATTTATTTTAATTTTAGTTCAATTATGTCTGAATTTATTATGTCTGTCTGTATAGGTCTTTTATTAAGTTTTTAGTTTTATTTAATTTGAGTTATTTTAATCAACAAACTAAATGGAAATGGAATAATATATATATTGAATTTATAAATGTGTATGCACATATACAGTATATGTACGTGTGTGTGGATGTACGTACACACATGTAGTTGTTTTTTTGGTGTTTGGCTTAGTGTTATGTCAGAATCATTATTATACTCTTATACCTTTTGTTCTTTAATATTTTGAATTGTTTTTAGCTTTATTTTGTTGTTTTTCATTTAAATGTTAAGTTTTGAAATTTGGGTGTACGCATTTGTCATTTTTATTTAATCTCTTTATTTTTAAAATGTGTATAGGTAGTATTTATAACGTTTCAGCTTTTAGTTTTGGATCTGTTTTTAGTTGTTTTAATACAACAATTGATTGCTTCTGTTGCCCTCATTTGTAAGTCGCTTTGGATAAAAGCGTCTAATAAATGACTAAATAAATAAAATATTTGCCTCAAAATATTAGCTCTGAAATGTGAACAGGAAACAGAGATTCTAATCTAACAAAAAGAAGCAAGGTAAGTAACTTTTAATGTTTGAACCAGAGTATCAGTTCATAATATATTCAAAGGCTTTGCAGTAAATCTCACACAGACACACACAGGTTTGTTTTTATGGTTTATGGGGACTCTCCATAGGCATAATGGTTTTTATACTGTACAAACCGTATTTTCTATTGCCCTACACCAACCCTACCCCTAAACATACCCCTTATAGGAAACTTTCTGCATGTTTAGATTTTCAAAAAAACTCATTCTGAATTATTTATAAGCCTTTTGAATTACGGGGACACTGAAAATGTCCTCATAAATCACCTTCTCGTTGTAATACCTATGTCATACCCATGTTATTATACAAATTTGTGTCCTCATAAACCACATAATCATGCACACACTCACTCACTCACACACACACACACACACACACTCACACACACACACACACACACACAGGTCACATGATAGTCAGTTGATTAAAACCCAAGTCATCATCATTCAGCTTCAGACCAAATGCATGAGCATTTTAGTGCGTTCTAGTCTTAAAAGAGGGACTTTAACGCGTTTTATAAGTGAACTTGGCTCAGGTCGATTACACTGCACACACTGATAGCGGCTGTCAGCTCAGTATCTCTGCAAAAAGCTGATAGTATCCACCCCTAGAAAATACATGAACGGTCAACGACCCTCCGAGACTTTGCCCTGCAAACTGCAGGAAAAAAGATGAAAACGGGTTAACTTCGAGAAGGCCGAGACGAGTGCGCTAACATAGGGCTTTGCTATAACTGGTAAGAGGCCCGTTCACTTATGATATACAGTGTCTGGAAGCGTGGCAAACATGATATGCATATGATGCATACTTGACAGAGACGACATTAAAACGAGTAATGTATTCAGAGAGTTATTTAGCCGCTTAGCCACGCGAGCTAAGCCAGATCAGTGGAGTGTGATACTGCGAGAACAACAACAGTGGAAACAACTAAGATTTACAGTATGATACAATAAATACATTTAAATGCGTTAAGATATGTCAAACAGTTATTAAAATATGAACATGCAAAAACCGAAAACAGCAAAGGCGTTTTCCACGCGCTCTTTTGTTTAGTAATAATCTGCAAAAAATATTAATTTAGCATTTGTGCATGTAAATAACCCTTTGCAAAAAAGCAATGTGTCCGCATTGAGCCGTACCTGTTCTGAACGCGGGTGCGAAACTTCACTTCACAGCCGCGAGACCTGCTGCAGAACTCACGAGAGAGAGAGAGAGAGAGAGAGAGAGAGAGAGAGAGAGAGAGAGGAGGAGCCACGCGCTTTAGCGCATCAGGCAACATTTTAAAAAACAATACATTTAGTTTTTTTTTTTTTTTTATAGTCTACTAACTAGCATTTGTGCATGTAAATAACCCTTTGCAAAAAAGCAATGTGTCCGCATTGAGCCGTACCTGTTCTGAACGCGGGTGCGAAACTTCACTTCACAGCCGCGAGACCTGCTGCAGAACTCACGAGAGAGAGAGAGAGAGAGAGAGAGAGG